TTTGTTGAACTTTGTAAATGTCAATCATTCTTGGAGACAACTTTTATAAGCCTAGAACTTTTATCCACTCGGCGCTGCATTCTTTCACACGTGACAAATTATTCTGTTTTTCAACTTTTTACACACAAACCTTAAACTTTTGCCCACGACCACAGGAAAGTTACGTGACTCCTTGGGATGGAAAATGCCTGTTGGTTGAGTCCATTAACCACGCTGATATTTTATTAATCTCTAAGCTCTTTCAAACCCATACTAGGACAGAATTTCCGTAGCTCAGACTAGTCAGGGGCGGCGGATAAAAACCTTGTTCTGCGATGCCTAACCGAACGTACAGCGCAGCAGACGGATCGCTGTGCAGCTCCATATCGTTCTAATGGAGAAGTCAGTGCGTTTGAATATCCAGCTATATAGCCCAGCACCGCTACAACCCGACCATTGACCCAGACAGACACACCTGAGGCGTGCACCTCACTAGTTCTACCGGCTAGGCTAGCCTTGGTCCTTCTATTGAGTAAATGATACAGCGCCTCGATCAGATCACTGCGCTAGCCACGTTCTAGTTCGGACAGTATTGGGACTACAAGTAATCCACTCACGTTCAATAAATTGTCAACTCTGAATGTCACTCGCCAAATAACTAAATAATAGTCAAACTCCCACCAGCCTGATATTGAGGGACTGATATCGAGGGAACGCAACAGTTATTTTTAGAACTCCGTATTCTGCCAGAGGTTGACAATTTATAGCTTTGATATTTTGGGGTTATTTGTTACTCCGAATTGTATAGTCTAGGGTGGCGTGATGTTTGGATAAAGGATGGGTTTAGGGTAACAAAAGGAACAGTGTGTAATGTTCCCAAAATACCAATCATTGGTTCAAAAGAACCTCTGATATCATATCCCATAAGGAGTATTTCTGTGGTATTACGTACCCCGACGATAATGAGCAGGTTTGCGGTGAGTCCAGGTGTAGTTCTCGCCGCTGATGCCGAATCCCTTGGCCTCGTACGTTTGATTCTCTTCCTGGTCATCCTCCAGATCTATCCGTACCATCTGTCTCCATCTTCCTCCCCCCCTCGAAGTCAGTTGGTGAAGTATCTCATTTCCCAGCCAGAACTCGCCCGTCAGATTGCCGAATCCGTTCCGGTACTCGGTCCAGTTGCGAGTGAAATTCACCGACCCGTCAAACCTCTTCTGAAACACCTTCAACCAAATATAGTTAGTGTTGAATGAATGACTGAAAGATTTCTTTCCGTCCAAGAATGCATTGGTATAGTAGTATGCGTGTTTGCAATTCCTTTCATACGCACGTTTTATTGCCTTTCAGTATGGGAGTTTATCGAGCAAAGGTGGGGATTTCTTTCCACTTGTCGGCGGTGTCTTAGGTCTTTTTAACGTCCAAGGTTAAAAGACAAAAAAAAAAAAAGAAAAGAAAAGAGGACTGAGTGCAAACAGCAGAATGCTGTTTACCTTGTTCATAGGATTTAATCACCCTTCCCATAGCCTTATTTGCCGCTATAGGGAGTAATGCATTGCAATTGCAGAAGACTTTTAAGGACCAGTTTTTCTCTTATTTGGCGAGTTTATAGTGATGTAAGATCTAAATTTAGTTTAATCTCATCATTGGTGTAGGTATTTATCTTTCAATATAATATGTAGCAATTTTCTCATTTTCTTCAGATTCTCATGGCATGAAATTTATTTTGAGATTTTGTACTTTTTAAATCTGTTTACCAGTCTTTAGAAGAATTGTGACCGATCGAGTAGTATCAATCAGCTACTAATGTGATCGTTTTGGTAAGTTCTTCGTTGGCAAAAATCTTGGAACGAGTCACTTTCTTTGGATACTTACAATTCTTGTTAAACTTAAAGTTTTTTGTTTTATGTAAAATAGAAACAAATACAGCATTATCAACTGAACTATTCTTAAAACTATGGCATAATAAAAACACATAAACGTAACTTGTCCAGCTGTTTAGTTTGCAACACGTGTTTTCTCATAAGCGAGTTGTCAACTCTATATCTCTACAAAATTGTTTCGGCTCTGACATTGATTGCAAATCCTACATTTGAGGGAAAATTCAGCCTAACGATTGGGCTACCCTTCCCTCAAATGATAAGGCAAACTTACAATCCAGCCTCCGGATGCAGTATCCATATCACAGTAGACCTCCAGGCCGTCAGGGTATTTTGACGGGTAAATGGTGTACACACCACTCTGGCGGATACCACGAAAATGTAAATTACGACAACCTGAGAAAAAGACGTTATGTATTATAATAACAGCATGTACGCAGGTTTAGGATGAGGGAGCAAAATTTTTCTGAAACCGAAACTTTTTTCACCCATTAAAATTGATCTCTGCCTCCTGCCAAAGTTGTTATAGTAGTAAATTGTTTAAATTAATATCTCTATCAATTCATTCCAACATTGCAACATATTTTCTACCCAGTTTCCCTCCTGGATACGCCATTGACTATTAAGGACACCATTACGTTTTAACAATT